GGAGGGAAGAATGACAGTACACAGGAAATAAACATATAATTTAAAGCAAGGATGAAGGCTGAGAAGGATATAAAGAGCTCCCTTCTCAGAGAAGGTCTAGGTGTCAAGAAAGCAGACGACTTCAGATAAAGTGGTCTGGGAAGGCCTTCCTGCAGAGGTGACATTTGAACAGAAACCTGAGAGTCAGGCAAAGCAGGAGATCTGAGCGTTCTAGGTAGAGGAAACAGTAACTACAAAGACCCCGAGGCAGGAAGAGACCCAGCATAGTCATGGAATAGCAGGAGCGCCAATGTGGTCTGAGGTCAGTAGGGGCTAACAGACTAACGCAGAGAGAAACTGAAGTAAGCGCCAGCAACGAGGGAGGGCCCTGTAAGTCACAGTTTGGATTTATTTTAAGGGAACCATGGAGTCACTGGAGAGATTCCAGTGTGAACAAGATATGATTTGATTTACATTTTTAAAAGATCACTCCGGCTACAATGTGGAGAATGGACTGCCGGGAGGCAACAAGTGGAACACAGAGAGACCAACCAGTTAGATGTTCACTTGTCTACGGGAGAGGTGATGGTAGCTGGGACAGTGGTGCCAGAAGGAAGTGGCTGCACAAGGACACACTGTGAAGATTTTAAAAAGCAGAAAGGGGCGAGGAAGAGGAACAACCAAGAGATTCCTAGGTCGTGGCTTCAGGAGTTGGGTCCATGAGGAAGAAAAAATGGGAAAGGAACAAGTATCAACATACAGATACTATACAATTCATTAGATGTATGCGTAAGTATTCTGGTTTGGGGGGGTACTGTAAAATGTTTCTTTAATGTTTGATTTTTAGTTGTTCATTGCTAGTATACAGAAATACAATTAATTTTCTTGTGTTTGGGCTTTGTATCCTGTCATCTTGCTAAACTCGGTTATTAGTTCTAGGAGGTTGGTGGGTGTTTTTTTTTAGATTCCTTGCATTTTCTATGTAGACAATCATGTCACCTATGAGGAGGGTTAATGTTATTTCTTTCTTTCCAATACAGTATTCTTTTCATTTCTTTTGTACTAGTGAGGACTTTCAGCAGTGGCTCCTGACCTAGGGGGAGGGCAGCTTTTTTACCATTAAGTATGACGTTTGCTATAGGCTTTTCGTAGAGGCCCTACATCAGGCTGAGGAAGTTCCCTCCTAAGCTTGCTGAGAGTTTTTTGTGGGTTGTTTTTTTTTTAAAGTATATGTTTGTCAGATGCTTTTTCTTCACCAATCAACATGACCATCTGTTTCTGTTCTGACAGTTAATAAGTTAGATTACACTGACTGGTTTTTTTAATGTTAAACCTTTCATTCCCAGGATAAGCCCCTCTTGGGCAACAAATTTGGGAAGTTTTTAGTCATTATTTCACCGAATATTTCTTCTGTACAGCACTCTTTCTTTTTGGGAGTCCAATGACACAGATGGTAAACCTTCTGGTATTGTCCCACAAGTCCCCAAGGCTCTGCTCAACTTTTTAAATTTTTGTTGTTGTTGTTGTTCAGATTGGTTATTTCTATTGCTTTATTTTCAAGTTCACTGATGCTTTCCTCTGTCATCTCCATTTTGTTGTTGAGTCTATCAGTTGAATTTTAAAAATTTTGGTTACTGTATTTTTTTCTTATATCTCTATTTGGTTCTTCTTTATTTTCTTTTTTATTGGTTTTTTTATTTTTTGGCTAACACTCTGCTTTCCCATTCATCTCAACAGTGTTTGCCCTTAGTTTTGGGAGCATTTTTATAACAGCTACTTTCAAGTCTTTGTCTGCTTATTCCAACATCTGTATCATTTCAGCACTGGCATCTCGATTGTCTTTCCCATGCAAGTTGAGATTTTTCTTGGTTCTTCATATGATGATTAATTTTTGATGTTTTGAATATTATGTTATGCAACCTGAGGTCTTGTTTAAATCCGGTGGAGAATGTTACTTTTTGTTTTACCAGATAATCAACCAACCTGGTTGGATTTAGGTGGCAAGTTCTGAGCAGCCTTCTATGGGTTTTGGTTTCAATACCAGTTCCATTTTCACAACCTATTCAGGTGTATATTCTATATGTATCACCAGCGTCCACTCTGGGTCTCAGGCCGTGGTCTATTCCTAAGTTCAGTTCTCGAAGTCTTTGTTAGGTTGGTTAGAATCAAATGCACTCTTTAGAATCACATGCACAGCTCAGGGGTTGGCGTGAAAGTTCACCAACAACTTCATGGAGTCACTTTCCTGATAACCTCCCTCTGTTTCCTCCTGTACTTTCCAATTCATTGGGCTTCCCCTTCCCAGTCCTCTGGCCAGAAAGCTGGGATTTTCGTTACCATATTCTGCCACCTGTTTCCTGAATTATACCCAAATCTGGGGCCAAGCAGCAAGAAGGCAGAGCGAGAAAAAAGCAACCAGATTTCATGCCACCCTCTTAAGATTACAGCTCCTTTAATTAGAGAGAAAGGTTTCCCTCTCTGCTTTAGATGCTTGAAGCCCCATGGCTGCCACTGGCACTTCCACCACCACCGTGGGACTGCCTGGGAACTAGGGCATGAGAGAACAGAGCAAAAAACAACCCTTGGGCCCGGCTGGTATGGTTCAGTGGTTGAGCATATACCTATGAACCAGGAGGTCAGGGTTTGATCCTGGGTCAGGGCACAAGCCTGGGTTGCAGGAGGCAGCTGATCAATGATTCTCTCTCATCATTAATGTTTCTCTCTCTCTCCTTCTCCTTTCCTCTCTGAAAGCAATAAAAATATATATATATTTTTTTTAAAAAAAAACAAAAAACCCCTGGGATTTTCCCCTCTGTTCGTGCGTTAGAATCCCTTTCTTGCCCCACAGTCATAGCTAGAGGTCTTCTGGAATTCTCTCTGTGCCCTGGTGTCCACTGCTGGGTTTTGGGCTTTCTCAAGTCCATGACATGCACCACCAGCATCCCATGCACAGAGATCCCATGACATGGGATCCAGAAGAAAAATGAAAAATTCACTGCCAGTGTCTTTTCCCTCAATTTATCTGCTACTATTTATATTTGAGAGTCCTCAAATAGCTGCTAAATGCTTTATGTCTAGGCCTTTAGCTGCATTCAATGACAGAGATAGATTCTTACATATGTATCTTGACCATATATCCTGGTGTGGATATAAGCATCATCCATTCGAGGGGAGAAACTGCCAGGTCATGGGGTATATTCAAATTTAGCTAGTCTTTTCCAAAGTGGTTGTAACCAATTCATCCTCCGGCCAGTAGAAACTCAGTTTTCACTGTACCACATCGTTACCAACACTGGAACATCAAGCCTTTTAAGTTTTGCCATTTTGGTATATGTGTCATAGTATCTCACTGTAATTCTAATTTGCATCCCCCTACATACTAACTCAAACACCTTTTCATAGGTCTACTGGCCATGTGGATTCCTCTTTTGTGAAGTGCCTATTCGATCTTTTACTTGTTTCTCTACTGCATTGTTTCTTTATTCCTACTGATTTGTTGTAGTTCTCTATTCTGGAAACAAGCCCTTGATTGGTTATTTGTGCTGTAAATACCTTTTTTCACTCTAGATTGCCTTTTCACTCTTAATAGATCTTTCAATTAACAGAATTTCTTAACTCTAATGTAATAAAATTGATTAATCTTTCCTATATGAATAAAACCACTATCTGCCCACTTTGTCTTAAAGTGACTTCTCTTGTCTCAGCATTTTGACCGGGGACACCTCAAGCATATCAGGCAGGAGACTGACTGCAAGATGGCAAAGGAGAGCTGGGCCAGTGTTGCTCAGTGGTTGAGCATCGACCCATGAACCACGAGCTCACTGGTTTGAGTCCCAGTAGGGGATGCGCAGGAGGCAGCCAATTGACTATGTTTCTCTCTCATCGATGTTTCCATCTCTCTATCCCTCTCCCTTTCTCTTTCCTAAAATCAATATAAACATGTTAAAAAAAAAAAAAAAGATGGCAAAGGAGAGAGAATAGGCTCCAGAGCCGGACAGAGATCAGTCCAGATCACCTCTTTCAGCATTCGTTTCTTATCTGTAACTAAAGCTACCCTGTGTACCTTGCACAATGTGTGTAAAGCATTCAGCACACTGTTGGCTTACAGGAGGTCCTCAGGAAACAGTGGTAGCTGTGACCATATTCTCTGCCACAACTGCCTGACCCTCCTGGCTGCTTTGTGAAACATCTATCTACTGCGTTCAAGGATTAACTGTTCTCAGTAGGCCAGCAAAGCCACCCTGTTATTTGCAAGCAGCCCCCACCACCACCTTCAACTAAAAAACACAGGCTTAATGCAGAGATGCTTTTCTGACAAAGTAATGTCATTCCAGGGCTCCCACAGGGACACAACGGCAGCAAGCGGAAGAATCAAAGTAGCCTCTCTTTCGCTCACTGCTGACAGCACAGTCGTGTAAAAGCCAAGCCCAAAGGAGCCTGGGTGACTTTGTGTAAAAGGGGCAGGTGTGCTGATCTGTGTGTGCTGCACCGTAGATACAGGGAAGAGTGGGAGTGTGCCGGCCTGCATGAGTTTTGGCTTGAGTGCAAGTAAGGAAAAGTGCATGACAGAGTGCACCTCCTGGAGGGTGTGTGTGGAAGTGTGCAGTGAGGTGTGTGTCCTCAGGAAGCTGCGATGCTCTCACCAGCCTGGCATTCTGCTGGAGGCCCTGATGGTTATCTACTCCAGCATACCCAGAGCTTAGCATCTCTCAGCGCCCTCTGCCCAACTCTCTGTGACAGAAATCATACCTTTGTATAGAAACCCGGACCATTCTGAGTGAGGGAAGAGCACTCCTACAAACTCTGCAGTGCACACTTTTAAAGCCACTAGCAAAGTCTTCTGGGTGTTGTATCCCACTCTGCTTCCCAGACCATGTCTCCCTAGAAAGGCTCCTGAGACTTCCCCACAATTCTGAGATATTCCACTGCCCACCCCCAGGCACCCCCACCTCTTTAGGCTCCACTTCAAATGTGGTCAGTGTTGAGTGCTGAAAGGGTGACAGAAGGGAAGGAACTGGTACCTGAGCCTAGAGTTTGTCCAGCGGAGTCAAAGGATAGAACCACTGAATCTGCAACACAAGAGGACAAGTTCATTTCTTTCTCCTTCTCACAGTAAGAAAGCAAGCTCCCACTGGCTCTGCCCAAACCCTCCCCAAGGGAAATCAACTGGAACGGGATCCAGCTGCACAGACGGCCTCCACAGGTCCATGCCCACCCGACCACTGGGCCCGGAGGCCCTGCTGAGCCCCGCCCGAGCCTCCTGCCACAGGGAGGAACATCTCAGGGCAGAGACAGGCCCTGAGTTCTTCAGAGGCATCTTCTGCCAGATCAGGGACAGATTTACTTCTTTTTCTTTCTCAGTGAAAATAAAATTTCAAAAAGCAAAAGAAAACTTCCCTCCTGCATCTAGTTAGACACTAACATTTCCCTGTGAATTCTCCCTTTCTTTTCTTATCCATACACCCAATTGTTTATTATTTCTTTTCTCCAAAAGGCTTAACGTGGCCTCTAGGAATTTATAGTACGCAATGGAATTTAAAAAATGAAGTCAAAGAAAGGAAAAACATTAAGTAATTGGGAAATGTTAGTGCACAAAATGCATGCCATGAGGACCTATACAAACCCTATAGCTAGAATCAAGGAGGCCTGAGCTCCCAAACAGCCAAAGGAGAACACGAACACTTACAAGATTCAGTGCCCACATTCATTCATTCACTCACTGTTCAGGAAATATTTATTGGGCATCTACGATGTGCAAGATACTATACTTTGAGATGCAGCAGCAAGCAAAAAAAAGCGCGGTCTCTACCCTCATGGATCTACCTGTCATCAGTCTAGAAGAGAAAAAAAGTTACCAAACAACAAATCACTCAACTAAAAACTAATTAAGCAAAAAGGGAAAGAATGCTGTGAAAGTTTCTGTCTGCAACCAGACCTAGTTTAGAAGGAGAATGGATGTTGGTTAGAAAGAAGTGACACTTGAACTAACAGCTGAAGGAGAAGTAAGGGTTGAACCTAACAAGAATGGAACGGGGCACTGCAGGCTGAGAGAATGTCCCTTGTGGAGAACTGGAGCAAGATGTAACAGGGTGGTTCAGAGCAACTGAATGACCAAAACATAAAAGCAAATACTCTACAGTGATCACAAAGAAGTTCCTCTCCTGGGTTTTAACTAAGGGAGATGAAACATGATGTCAAAGCCTGTATCTTTTACAACATTCCTAGTATAATAAGTAATTGTGAATCTTGAATGGCTGTTTCTTATAGCATGAACCAATAGAAATGATGGCATAAAGCCAGTGTATAGTTCAATAAAAACAATTAAAAGGGACACCAAGATAATTTAAGGCCCAGGATCACTCAGAGACTCCAGACTTAAAAGAGATGATACTCAAATGGTTCACTCACTACAAAAGAATGCCAGTTGAATGGCTATAGGACCAGTGTCTATAGCCACACCCCACCCCAGTATTATTCTTCAGATCTCAATTAGTATCACATTTTCTCTTAGTGCACATGGACATATGACACGATAGTTACCATAACTGTAAGTAACATCTATCCCCACTGCTGGACTCTACGCCCCATTAGGACAGACACTGTATTTGTTTTTTCATTGCTACGTTACCAGGGTAAGATCTGGACTCAGTAACTACTGCCGAGTAACAATCCTAGGTAAGTGAATGGACCACATATCCTTCAGGCAATCTTTCACACTCCCCTCCCCCCCATAACCAAGTGTTTACGACGAAGTGGGTGGCAGAGAACTAGAGGGTATGATTTTTATAATAATCCAGAGGCAGATATTCTGTATTGCTAGTTAAGGGCAGATCCATACGCTTTGAAACCCACATCTTTTTACAAAACTGAGAAAGCACAATTAGGACACTTAGCTGAATAGATAGGTGACCACCATATGAGAGACAATCAACCTCTAACTCTTACAAATTATACGTCTTTATCACCGTTTCTCACATCTGTCTCCTCTTAATGCTATTGCTGCTTCAGAAAAGAAGCCCCTGACGCTCCCCCCACCGTCACTCTCTCTGAGTTTTATTAAGGTATAATTACATACTCTAACATTCACTCATTTTAAGTGTACAATTCAGTGATTTTCAGAAAGTTTACAGAGCTGTGCAACCATCACCACATGAAGATTGAGAACATTCCCTTCACTCTAAAAAGCTCAAGCAACCACTCATTTTCTTACCGTCTCTATAGATTTGTTTCTAGACATCTGCCTATTTTTTGCCGGGCCTGTTCTGATAGCCTCCTAACCACACACCTACCTTCAACTTAGCCCACTTCCATCATCCTTATACTGATGCATGATTTTTCTAAAAGGTATACCTCACTGTGTCTTTGCTTTTGATTAAAATGCTTCGGTGGTCCCCCATAGCCTATACAAAAAGTCTAAGCTCTAACATTCAAGTTCTTCACTATTTTGCCTCATTTGCTACCTCTAATATACCTCATGTTCTAGATATGCCAAACTACTTCCATTCCCCCAAAGAGATGTGTACCTCCTATTTTCTACATGGAACATACTGTTCTGTTCACATGGGAAAACAACACCCCATGTTTCCAATATGACCCAACTCAACCATCCCTCATCTGGAAGCCTCCGCTGATGAATTCTGCGTGTTCTTTTATCTAGGCCATCACTGAGCTGCTATTATGGCATTATTATATTGTGTCATAATCCTTGTTTAGTTCTTTTTTCTCTCATTAAACTGCAAGTTCCCTGAGGACAAGCATTGTCTGTTCATTTTGAGGCTTTGATGCCTAGCTCAGTGACTAACACACAGAGAGCAGTCAATATATTAAACAAAGGAGTAAACTAGTAAATGCCCTTGCTTTCTTTCAAAGGTGATATCATCTGAGTGATATTTCACAGGTTAGGGGGAAATCCATGATGCATATAAATTCTCATTCAATTCAAGTCAACCTTGAACTGGCCTCATCCTAGGAAGGAACAAACATTCCCACAAATCAGTGTGGGGGGATAAGAAAAGTGCCCAAGGAACTTTCTAGGTGATAGATCACATTCACCAGAAGATTAGGAAAGGCTTTCTGAGGAGCTCACTGCCCAGATTAACAACAATAAAAACAACATCGCAAATTTTTATTGCACTTGACAAGTATTTTTCCAATGGTATTTTATCCACTTTGTACTCACGAGCAGTCATGAGATAACGTCTTAAACTTTTCCATCTAAACATAAAGAAAAAAGGCTAAAAGTTAACTAACAGACTAAAACTTACCTAAGACTAAAAGAAAAAAGACAATAACAATGTTAGCAAATACTAAGAATGATAGGTGGTGTTTCTTCTCTGTATTCTTGAAAATTTTCTACAGTAAACATGCATTAGTTACATCATCAGGGGAAAAAGTTAAGAAGAGAACTCTAATCCAGCTCCAGGTTTTTAACCTCTGATCTCTGGCATCATGCAGAAGGATGGAAGGTGCTCGTCCACCTTCACTGTGCAGCTCTTCTGCTTAGTTCCTGAGGCATCCTTGTTACATGCCACTTAAATATACCTCAGTGCATCAATTCCTAAATATCCTGAGCTTTTCAAAAATTCTTCCCTCCTTCCCACAAATATTATCAAGTCCCTATTACGTCCTGGCATGCCTCATTTTATGTGCTATTTATTGATTTAAGAGAGAGAGAGAGAGCGAGCGAGAAACATCAATGTGAGAGAGGAACGCTGGTCAGCTGTTACACTCCCGACTGGGGACGGAGCCCCAAGCTAGGCATGCGCCCCGACCTGGAGTCGAGTCCGCCTTTTGGTGCATGGGTGGCGCCCTAATCAGCTGAGCCGCTCGGCAAGGGCTATTGTGTCTTTCTGCAAACTGAAGGCAAGTCCCTCCATCAGCGAAGAGACTGCAACTTGCTTTATTGTGGTGTTCTTTACTGCAGCGGTTTGGAACCAAACCTGCCGTATCTTCGAGGTATGCCTGCACTAGAGGTAGGGAGCCAAAGTAAGAGACCGTTTTTGCCTTCCAGCCAAGGAAGACAGACGAGTTAATATCCACTTAAAATAAAGTGTGACATGGGAATGCAAACACCAAGCAGATGAAAAGTCAGAGTTTCCACAAATGTCATTCCCAGTGGCAGCGGGTTGTGTCTTTAAACTGCAGAAGATGCAAATAAGAGAGTAGAAATTTCTGAAGGAAGTTTGTGACATATTCATGTTTTGTGTCAGTTTTGGTGTCACTTTGAGCATTAAAGCCACAGACTTGAGAATTCGTTTGGCCAATTATTATTTGTGTTTATTCTAAAGCATGTAAGATCACTTTAGTTATAAACCACTTTGACAACAACAGAGAGAATTCAGTATTCAACAAGGTGAGAAGTTTGTTTTGCAAGAAACAGAGCAAGAATAATCAGACTTCTCAGGCTAACGAATATGTTGTTTTCATTCAAGCAGCCCCGGCTCCAGCTGTTCCTGGTTCACAGGCCAGAGGTGGCCATGTGGTGTGTTAACAGGTGACCGAACAGAATTCCAGACCAAAGTCCAACAGAGCATTGCTGCACATGACTTTGTCCAATGAGGAAACCTAGCATTTACTGGAAATCTTTTATTATGGTCAGATGTTTCCTGAGTCTGGTTTCTGAAGTGGATAAAAGGAACATAAAGAAAGTATGAAGAATGGGGCTCAGTCTTTCCAGTCATTGGAGAGGCTTGCAAAGCTCCAATTATGCAGTGAACAAGCTCCATTTTCAGATCTCACCTGTCATGGTATACATTCAACACGTATATTCTGCTAGCTACCATGTCTATGTCTTAGAGATGCAAGCATTTTCAAAAACTCCCCTTAAGTAGCCAACAGGTAAAATAAAAGCACATGTAAAGCTAAGCATTCTATAGTTAATAAAACTGTATTGTACACTTGAAATCTGTTAAGAGAGATCTTAAATGTTCTTGACACACGTATACACACACACACACAAAGGTAACGATGTAAGGTGATGGATGTGCTAACTAACCTTATTGTGGTAATGTAATCATTTTATTATATACTAGAGGCCCGGTGCACAAAAATTTGTGCATTCGGGGGGGAG